AGGCTCAATTTCCGATGCTTTCTCGAGTCCGCTCTACGTTCCTCCCGAGGGAGGAGCGCGGGCTCCTTTCCCGAACAACGGCTGGTAATCGCGGCTAATCGTGTATCCACCCCTGAAATTGTTGAGCGCAATATTGCGGTAATAGAATTTCGTCCTACCTCTGCAACATTGCGTGTAACAAATTTCTTCGTGTATCCACCACCTGCAACATTTCGTGCAACAGTGTGAGGCAAATTTCAGTGTTTAGCCAATCAAATCTCACATTCAAATTTAACCGCTGACTTTTAATCAACGGCGAAACCAAAGAAACGAAGGTTGAAAAGAAAAGAAGTTTGAAGTGTTCTTCGTGTATTCGTAAGTACTCCTTGTACGAACTGGGATCTTCCGTAGCCAAATCTCGCACAATTCTGTGGGATGCCACCATCTCCTGCCTTCTGGCTATCCAGCCTCGGACCCAAACACGGCGATTTTTCCTTTTAATGCGACATTTCTCCTCGCCATCTAAGAGCATTAGCGCAAGAATTGCTACAGCGTTTTTCTTGCTTAACGACGCCATTTTGGATTGCGCGATGTAAACATGATCGCAAGAGAGCTTGGTAGCTGTTCATCAAATAGTGCGCGTAATATTGCACGAAATGTTGCAACCGTGTATCCGGGCCTTTAGCCGCGTACTTGGAAGCGTAGTTGATTACGTCATTGTCAATCCTAGCGCGCGCGTGGTGTGTAAACCATGCATTGCGCGATGCGCAGAACATTTGCGCAGTAACAAAAGTAGGCAACGTCCTTAAAAGTTAAAATCGCGTATTTAACTTACTACCTGGTTACTTATTCATCAATAGCAACAGACTTATAGCTGCAATCTTTACCCGCTGCGCATGCGGCAGGCGTGGTTGGAAATAAAATGCTCTGGAAACTTGGGCTGTCATAGGTGAGATTGACCTGGAATTGAGTAGCTTGGATTGTAATGTGCATCGTCTTAAAACTGACACGTTAGGGGAACCACGTGATATTGGGCTTGACTTATTCCCAGTTTTCGGTGAAGAATTCCTCAAGATCACGTGACTCTCGTAAACCCACCGAACAAACTCCTTCGATACCGACATGATCTCAGGTAACGCTGGCATAAAAATCAACAATACAGACCCGGTATTTAGTTTATTTATTTGAAAATGCGCTCATTAGAAACGCAGCACTTTAACAAAATAAAAAAAAGGTTTTTGTGAGCTCTTATGCAGTGGCTATAATTTGCACCGTGTCCTTCGCTTTTGCTTTAAGCTGATTAAACGACAAATACTGAATAGCCTTTCCTGTCTTTTTTCTCAAGTGTCATTAAAGCGCCTCGCTTCATTTACGAGCGAGTGGAGTACATGTCTTTGTCTTCAGGGTTTGACTGTCCGAGGTCTCCTTCAGGCTTCACATCTCCACTGGCTGAATCTTCTTGCACAATCACTTGATCCTTGCTGCTTTCAGCCTCCGCAGTGACAACCTTATCATCACTGACTTGCACAGGACTCACATCTCCAGTTGCACTTGTCTTTCCACCAGTTAACTTATCAACAAATGGAATCTTACTCCAAAATGATGACTGAGGCTTCACTTCTGCGGCCATCTCTGGTTCTGTAGTTTTCTCTTGCACATCACTCACTTCAGTCTGGCTTTCCACAACTTCCCCTTTAGTGACTTCAACTGTAGGACTTCCCTGATCTTCTAAAACTCGTGTTTCCTCTGCACGAAGTTTAAGTTCCTCTTTAGCAGCCTTTTCTGCTTGTTTTTGGTTATAGTTGCTTCTCTGCTCATTCACAAAGACCTTTAGTCTCTGATAATTGGTCTGCGTTATGTCAACCGCCTGTTTTGGATAACAGATAGCTGCTGCAGT